ACATTCTCTCCCTCTTTCCATCCCCTTTACATTCACTTCCTCTTTCCATCCCCTTTACATTCACTTCCTCTTTCCATCCCCTTTACATTCACTTCCTCTTTCCATCCCTCTTTACATTCTCTCCCTCTTTCCATCCCCTTTACATTCACTCCCTCTTTCCATCCCTCTTTACATTCTCTCCCTCTTTCCATCCCCTTTACATTCACTTCCTCTTTCCATCCCCTTTACATTCACTCCCTCTTTCCATCCCTCTTTACATTCTCTCCCTCTTTCCATCCTCTTTACATTCTCTCCCTCTTTCCATACCCTTTACATTCACTTCCTCTTTCCATCCCTCTTTACATTCACTCCCTCTTTACATTCACTCCCTCTTTCCATCCCTCTTTACATTCACTCCCTCTTTCCATCCCTTGAATGTAAAGGGTATGGAAAGAGGGAGTGAATGTAAAGAGGGATGGAAAGAGGGAGTGAATGTAAAGGGGATGGAAAGAGGGAGTGAATGTAAAGGGGATGGAAAGAGGGAGTGAATGTAAAGAGGGATGGAAAGAGGGAGTGAATGTAAAGGGGATGGAAAGAGGGAGTGAATGTAAAGGGGATGGAAAGAGGGAGAGAATGTAAAGAGGGATGGAAAGAGGAAGTGAATGTAAAGGGGATGGAAAGAGGGAGAGAATGTAAAGAGGGAGGAGAGGAGAGAAAAGGCTTGTTGGACTTCATGCAGCGTTGCACAGACTGATCGGCGGCTGACTTGAAGCAGTGCATGATGGTTAGAACTCGTGTCCGACTTCAGACAGCGAAGCCGTGTGACTGCCGTATGACATCAGAGTCCGCTGAGAGCGATTGGAGAGCAGGAAGACTCAGCCAGAGCAGTTTCTCCAGAGCGACTCACAAGCTCTGATGACAACACAACTGATCCACGATTGGCTGGATTCTCCGCATGACAACGATCATGTGTTTATTCTCACAGCTTCAGTTCCACTAATGCTCACAAATCTGTTTTTTATAACAGTGAAAGCTCTTTTCATGTAGTCGCAATGTTATATTGTCATGTTTATCAAAATAAAACTGATACAATGTAGCCTCGGGATGACCTGGGACTAGAGCAGAGTAGCTGTCAGCAGAAGGGCAAGTTCTGAGCTTACTTAGGAGCCCATCGTGTTTCTTTTCAAGATGTGTGTGCAGGACTTTGACATCCTGAGTGAAAGGAATGATCTGTGGTGTGTTCCACTTGGCTTCTTTCGATGTAGTTATAGCACCAGCAGAAATGTACTCATTCCACCTTGCCTGGTGTATTCTCCTGAAGTCTCGGGCACACTCAGCACGATCATGATCTCCATACATCATGGCATTGCTCTCAACAATGCTACAGATCTTGATTAAAGAATGCCCAAGTTTGAGAGCTAAAGAAGGAATGTGGTAGGAGTTTTTCTCTTCATCGTAGCCAGATAACTCTGTTTGGTCACATCAGACCCCATCCTGTTGAACATGTGCTCCCCCAGCTGCATGATGGATCTGTCAGAATGAACTACACGCGAAACTTCATAGTTCATAAAGGACAGTATTTTCTTGAAACCTTTGCTCACTTCTAAGCCGACTGGTGTGTTTAAAGCACACAGAGATCGAACTCTTTTCCGGCCCAGGGCATCATCCTCTTTAGGTTTCAGGGGACAGTTTTTGATATGTTTCCAAAGGCTACGCTTGTTATAAAGCCCTTGGCAGTAAATGCAGTGAATACATTCTTTGGCTCTTTGTCTATTTTTTGGACGGTAGCAGGCAATCATCTCCCCATGTCCTTGTCTCACCACATCTGTGTTGTGGGCAAAGTTGCCCCTTTTTCTAAGGAGGTTTAAAGAACTTTGGAAAGAGGCTTTTCCAAAGAACTTTATTCTTGTTCAAACAGATGCTGTATTAAGCGGTTCATGTAGTGCATGAAAACGTCCCTGAAATATCTGTGTATTTGGCAAATAATGCATTTATTCCACTTCAGCTGTGCTAAAGTATGCAAACACATCGTGAGCGTCACTACGGGAAGCAGAAAGTGTCAGACTCACGTCTCAGTTTTCAGCTTCTCCCGGCTGCACACGGCAATGTCCAACACAGCTGATGTAAACGATGAAAAGAGGGAGTGAATGGAAAGAGGATGAAAAGGATGAGTAAATGTAAAGGAGATAGTAGAGAGATTTTGAAGAAGGGTGGATGGAGGAAGCACAGAGGATAGTTGGACACTGAGAATCATTCCCACCTCCAAGTTATTAGATTTGTCATTGTTCTTTTTTATTTTTTTATTTTATATCTTTTTGAATTTCTGTCATTAACTGCAATGTGTACTTTCAACACAATGTTTAATACTGTTAATATTAAAGAGTCATTAAATCGGAGTGTGTATCACTAGAGTCCCCAAAGAGTCATTTAATCGGAGTGTGTGTCATTAGAGTCCCCAAAGAGTCATTTAATCGGAGTGTGTGTGTCATTAGAGTCCCCAAAGAGTCATTTAATCGGAGTGTGTGTGTCATTAAAGTCCCCAAAGAGTCATTAAATCGGAGTGTGTATCACTAGAGTCCCCAAAGAGTCATTAAATCGGAGTGTGTGTGTGTCACTAGAGTCCCCAAAGAGTCATTTAATCGGAGTGTGTGTGTCATTAGAGTCCTCAAAGAGTCATTTAATCGGAGTGTGTGTGTCATTAGAGTCCTCAAAGAGTCATTTAATCGGAGTGTGTATCACTAGAGTCCCCAAAGAGTCATTAAATCGGAGTGTGTATCACTAGAGTCCCCAAAGAGTCATTAAATCGGAGTGTGTGTGTGTCACTAGAGTCCTCAAAGAGTCATTTAATCGGAGTGTGTATCACTAGAGTCCCCAAAGAGTCATTAAATCGGAGTGTGTATCACTAGAGTCCCCAAAGAGTCATTAAATCGGAGTGTGTGTGTGTCACTAGAGTCCTCAAAGAGTCATTTAATCGGAGTGTGTGTGTCATTAGAGTCCTTAAAGAGCCATTTAATCTGAGTGTGTGTGTCATTAGAGTCCTTAAAGAGCCATTTAATCTGAGTGTGTGTGTCACTAGAGTCCTTAAAGAGCCATTTAATCTGAGTGTGTGTGTCACTAGAGTCCCCAAAGAGTCATTTAATCGGAGTGTGTGTGTCATTAGAGTCCCCAAAGAGTCATTTAATCGGAGTGTGTGTGTCATTAGAGTCCCCAAAGAGTCATTTAATCGGAGTGTGTGTGTCATTAGAGTCCCCAAAGAGTCATTTAATCGGAGTGTGTGTGTCATTAGAGTCCCCAAAGAGTCATTTAATCGGAGTGTGTGTGTCATTAGAGTCCCCAAAGAGTCATTTAATCAGAGTGTGTGTGTCATTAGAGTCCCCAAAGAGTCATTTAATCAGAGTGTGTGTGTCATTAGAGTCCTTAAAGAGCCATTTAATCTGAGTGTGTATCACTATTTTTATTTGTATAAAGTTTTTCTTTGACAGTTACTACACTTTACAGAAGAAATGCCTAATGTCATAAAGCCCCAGTGAGTAGCCAAAGATGACTCTGGTGAGGAAAACCCCTTAAGATGTTTTTGTGATGATGATTAGTTTGCAGTCGATGCTAAATTAACTAGAGGGATGCTGGCCGTGGCCAGTGAAGTGTTCTCTGCCATGAAGTGAAGTCAGTTTTATTTCTATAGCGCATTATACAATACAGATCGTTTTAAAGCAGCTTCACATACATAAAATAACTTGCAAATTTCAACAATTATGTTCATCTTTTGTTCTCTGATAGTCAATACAGTCAAATCAATAATATTTCTGAATGTTAATTGTCATTCCCCGACTGAGACAAAGGCACTTGATCTCAAGCTACAAATCAGACAAAAATGTAGACTACCCATTTACAGTGATCATGAAGAAATGAAAAACCCAGTTTACTCTCTCACACCTGTATCTCTGCACTAGCTTGATTTCAGTGTCCAGTATTGGAACTTTGAATTGTAATATTCTACTTCTGTCTTCTTAGGATAAATAATATAACATCTCAACAAAGTCCTGAAAGTATACATTAACCAGAGTTTGTGTATCACCATGGTCCTCAAAGTATGACTTAACCAGAGTTTGTGTATCACCATGGTCCTCAAAGTATGACTTAACCAGAGTTTGTGTATCACCATGGTCCTCAAAGTATGACTTAACCAGAGTTTGTGTATCACCATGGTCCTCAAAGTATGACTTGACCAGAGTTTGTGTTTAATGTCCCCAAAATGGACATAAAAAATACTGTCCCTAAAGTGAAGGCAAAATGTCAGGTCTTTAAGGAAGGCTTTTATTGATAAAATCAAGTGATAAGTGTGATGACAGCTTCTCCAGAAGTGCAGTCATGTCTTTCTTTTGTCTCTAGACCCTTCAGAAAGGGGTGTCCCTAAAGGTAGGGTTCCCAGTCATACGTCCTCACATTGTGGTTAAGTAGGTATGTGTGTGTGTGTGTGTGTGTGTGTGTGTGTGTGTGTGTGTGTGTGTGTGTGTGTGTGTTATCTGTGGCGGGAGTTCAGCGCAGCCGGTGGAGACATTGAAAATTATTCACAGCTTCTTGGTTGCGGTTTTAATTGAATCGCCTGGTCATTAAGTATGTTATAGTAATCTGTAAGATCAGTGTGATGGCATTTAACAGCTGTTATGATAAAGTAAATCAATGCATTACAGTGTTTCCACGGTTAAAGCATGTTCTTGGGCACATCTTAACAGATATATAATGTAAGACAGCTTAACTGTATGGTTGCTGATACCATTTTGTGTAGCCAGACTTATTGGATGTGCAAAAAGCTCTGAAAAATTTCCTTTGACATCCAACCAAACCTTTTTTCCACATTCTGGAAATCAAAGTTTCAGGCCAGTACAGTTCAAGCCGGCCAGTACGTTTCCAAGTGACTCTAATCCAGGTTGTCTAGACCAGCTGGCTCTGGGGTCTTTATGATAGATGCTCAATAAGTGTTGATGATTATTCTGAGAATAATGTATTCAGATCCATCGTCACACACTCATCATGATCTGTTTACCAGGAACTCCACACTACAGAGAAGACGAAGCTGATCACACAACTGGGAGACGCCAAGAACCTCATCGAGCAGCTGGAGCAGGACAAGGTGAGCGAGACGCTAACAGGACACGCTTCATCTCACTCCTCAGAAGGGTTCAGCTATGTTGTGTGTCCGCCACAGGACTGTTTATGAGCCAGCATGAACTGAAGATTGCAAATTCCACTGGCCCTCTTAGCCAAAGACAAAGATGAATTATCCCGGGAAGGCTTTTTAAAATGATCGCAAAACATATTTCCTGTGGGTCATTCACTTTGTCACGTTTGCATATAAGAGTAAGCCTGGATATATTGCTTATTATTTTGGATAGTGATCAAGCAGGGTCCAAACTTTTTGCCACATCTGTCACCGGTGGGTGAATTGACCAATCAAAATATTTTTACAGGCCATAAAATTGTAGCTTGCATTATTTTAAATGAAAAAATATGTATTTTTTAAATAATATTAATTTATATACAATATATATTATGTGTGTATATATTTATATATATATATATATAAGTATACGCATGAATATTATTTAAATAATATATAAAATAACATAATAAAATTAAATGAAAAAAGGTATTTTTCTCTCACACACACCAATATATATATATATATGTGTGTTATTATATAATATATTATTCTTGAAATTTATATAAATGTATATTATTTCTATAATATTAATTTATGTGAATATATTAATTACATTTTTCAATAATAAAATATAATATTACACAAATGAAAATATCAATTTTCAGTTTCAGTCTGTTATATTTATATTTTATACTTATTTTTATTATTTATTTGGTCTTGGTAGAGTATTTATTTTGCACCTTGTGATCAAGAAATAGATCAAGTCTTTGAGATGTAATATAGTTTGTAATTATGTGAAATATGGAGAGCTGTCTGTCTGCTACTGGGTTGTGATCAAATCAGTCATGTTGTGTTTAGCATTTGACCTTCACCCTGCAGGATAGAGATGATTTCCTCTTGGGTCACTGTATGAAATGTGAAAGAATGCAAACATATGTCAGAAACTATTAGCGATGCGTCCTCAAACTGAGCACAGAAATGCTGTAGAGGAGCAGGAACCTGTTTTGGACACGTTTGTGCTATAGTATTTGAACATAAATGATAGCAGATTTGCTGAAAAAAAGTGACTGCAATATTGTACATTTGAGGTTTCATTTCACAGGCTCTTCTTAAAAATCGCCAAACCTATGATATCTTAAAATTGAAATTTGCACGAGGATCAGAACAAAATATAGCTTTTATTGACTGAAAATCTACCCATTAAAAATCAAGGATGAGTACATTTAATTTGTGTGTACCCCTTTAATACATCATTTTGAAGGGAATGGTCATTGCTGAAACGAAGCGTCAGATGCATGAGACTTTAGAGATGAAGGAAGATGAGATCGCTCAGCTGCGCTCCAGACTCCAGCAGACCCTCGCACAGAAAGACGAGCTGCAAGAACAGAAAGAGAAATCCGAGAAAGCTGGTGAGTAAGACTATCTCCTTTCTCTTTTTCCCACCTTTGTTTCTACTTGTCCTAACTGCACTTCATGTGACTCTTTCCCAGCATTTGAGGAGCTGGAGAGAGCCCTGGGTGTGTCCCAGCGGGCGGAGGAGACACGCCGTCAGCTACAGGTGAGCATGGAGGAGCAGGTGAAGCAGGTGGAGAAGGCCAGCGAGGAAGAGCGGAGAAGCCTGCAACAGGAGCTGACCAGGGTCAAACAAGAAGTGGTCACCATTATGAAGGTGTGCATGCTTATCTCATTTTTTTTGATCGCTTATTAAAAGAGTGTTTGCTAACGGGGTGTTTCAGAAGAAAAAATAAACAAACTGTTTAGTTTTAAGGGTCATCGAGAGCGTGGAAAAGGGGACTAAATGTTGACAGTTTGTGTCACAAAAAAAGTAATAAGAATTTCAAGGATGCAATTATTTCAGTTGTTTTCACACACATCAGTGTTGTTTGAGATGAGGAGAAGCATTAAAAATACAGTCATACAGGAAACAAAAAACGTACTTTGCATTTTGATATGTTCCTTTTCTCTGTCCTCATTTGTACTCGACCTGTTTAAAGTTATTTTGCCTGGAAAAGCCATCAATCCACACTCAGTGTCACATTCATCCTGAGAATGATCTGGATGAGCGTTTTAACGTTCATGACTGCAAAGTTCCCACGAAGGCTGTGTGTTTTTATAGATACGCACACCTTTGGTATCTTCCTCTGTGTATTGGAGTATGATTCATTAACTTAATGGCAATAGTAAATCAAAATTGACTTAATTGATGCCACATTTACAGCCCACCATTCTTTCTGCATGTATCTGAGATAGGCTTCATTTTTCAGAAATTCAGTTCTGTTTCATTCATCATGACCATAATTCATGCCATAACAAAGAAAAATACAGTATGTCTCTGTTTCGCTTGCCAATAATTCATTTAAGAGTGACATTTTGAGTCAGTTCATTATTTCACCAAATCATGATACCATGGGGACTAGTCAAATGAGATATTTCAAATTCTTATGGTGAACCCATTGAGTTTATTCATGAGAAAATTTAAAAGATTCACGGTTTTAATGTGAATCATTTTATTATATTTATTTATTATAACTATTCTTTATATGAAGCCCACTTTTTTTTCCACCATAAATCACATTAATAGATTTTTAGAAAGGTTTCATGTGGGAATATTTTATATACATATGGGACTCAGTTTTTATTAAACATTAAACTGAGATATTTTATATAGTTATTTTATTGTTAATTGGTTTTGTATTTTATTATTTAATTTTTAAAATAATACAATACAAAATATTGCCATGAATGTAGTAGCCTTTGATGCATATATGGCAATAAAGCAAACAAATACAACTAAATAAAATGGTGATAATTCCCCATCCTCTCTGACCTTTAGAATTAAGCTGCCTGTTTGAGCAGCTGTACCATAGTTTCAATACATGGTCTAGTTTAGCGATGGGCCCATGTCCTGCAGAGTTTAGCTCCAGCCTGTATAAAACTCACCTGTAGCTTTGTAGTAGTCCGGAAGCCCTTGATTAGCTTGTTCAGGTGTGTTTAATTAAGGTAGGAGATAAACTCTGCAGGGCAGTAGCCCATCCCTGGTCTAGATGCACTAGGAAGTAAGTTTTGCATTGTGGACATAAGAGTTTTGTTAAAAAATTGTCCATCAAACTTGACAAAGGTTAATATTTTTCCATGGTTTCTTTTGTTTCAGAAGTCCACCGAGGACAGGATAGCAGAAATGGAGCAGTTACACTCAGAGGCTATGGCTAGCAAAGAACAGGAACTGAGTGCCCTGATCAAACAGGCGGTGGTATGCCCTGATTTTCATTTCTGTGTTAACCTGTGATCAGTTCATTGAAATATTAGCTTGGATGTAGTCGTTACCCAAGCTATTTGCATTAATGCTCTTTTTTTTTAACCTCAGGAGCAGTGTCGTGAGGAGATGTTGCAGTCGGCAAAGGAAAGAGAACAGCAGGAATCTCTCGCTCTGGAGGAAGCAGAGCTGCAGAAATCTGCAATTCAGTCTGAGGGGGAGAACAAAGCCAAGGAACTACAGCTAGAGTTGGAGTCTGCCAGAACGGTGAGTTTATATGCCACTTGATCTGAGATTAGATCAACAGGATATCCTTATTGTAGTTGCATGGCCAAATTATGCCATATAACTATTTAGTCAGCATGAATGAGGATTTGAATGAAAGCAATGCCATATTTTTTGCAATATACATTCCTTTAAAATTGTTGTTTTTCTATTTTTACAGAGAATTCAAGAACTTGAGAGTTGTCTGAGTAGCCCAGAGAAGGATTACGCCAAGTCGGATGATCTCTCTGCGCAAGTGGAAGAGCAGAGAAAGAAACATGAGGCTGAAATAGCTGCTTTAGAAGAGGCACATAAGCAAGACCTGGAAAGGACAAAGACAGAGCAAATAGCAGACCTCAACCAGCAGCATGATGTTGTTATGGAAGAGCTCATGCAAAAACACAAGGTAGAGATTGAATCTATTCTGAAAGACAAGGAGGAACAGTTCCATTCTCATGTGGAAGACATGAACAAAAAGATGCTTGATAAGCTGAGTGACAAACAGACAGAGATTGAGACCCTGTCTGCTGATCTCAATGAAGTACTGAATATTAGACAACAGTTAGAAGAGAGGCTGTCCTCTGTGGAGGCCACCAGTGAAACCACAAGACAAGAGTTTGAGGAAAGACTTAAGGAAGAACAAACTAAATATCAGGTGGAGATCGAAGCTGCGATACAGAACCAACAGTCATTTGCAATGGTGGAGAAAAAGCTGAAAGAACAGATAAATCAGCTGAAGACTGTGTTGGAGGAGAAGGAAAAAGCACTAGAGGAACATGTGCTCAGGGAAAAGACTTTGCACGAAAATGGAAGTGCTCAGTTGGAGGAACTTCATCTCAGGGCACAGTCGAACAAAGAGGCCCTTGAGGAATCAAGATCTCAGATTAGCACACTTGCAGAAGAACTCCAGCAAACCAAGAATCAAGTGAAAGATCTTGAGCAAACCCTTGAGGCAGTGCGTAATGATTGTCAGGAGAAAGGAGTGTGTCTTGAACAGAAGACAAATGAACTTCAGGAACTAGTGCAGAAGATGGAGCAAGTCAAGTGGGACCTATCTGAAAAAGAGAATTTGCATTCTGCAACCTCCAAAACAATGCAAGATGAGCAAAACCGCTTGAGGAAGCAGCTGGATGACCAGAAGAGTTCTCATGAGAAGAAACTTGAGAACATTAGGAAAGACATGGATTGCAAGCTGAAATCCCAGGAAAACAAAATGGAGAAATTCAAGCAGAAAGTCAAAGAAGCACAGGACAAGCTGAAGAAGAAGCTTCAGGATCAAGAGGAGAATGCCAAAGCTGAGTTATCCAAGACAGTTCAAGAGTTAGAACGGAAAGACCAGCAACTGAAGGAGAAGATCCTTGAGATGGCACAAGCAAGCTCTGAGGGCCTCAGCACAAACATGTCTGATTTGGAGGCCAATCACAAGGAGCACTTAGACAAGCTTAAGCTGACCCATAAACAGGAACAGGAAGACCTTGTTCGACATTGGCAGGAGAAACTCAACCAGCATGAGGAGGAGATGCAAGAAAAACATGCCCAATCTTTGCAAGATAAAGTCCAAGAGTTGGAGGAGATCTCGCAGCTGCTTTCGGCCAGCAGGGAAGAAAAGGAACAGATCATGAAAGACATCCAGAACCTCAGGGAGGAGCTCGCCATGAGGGAAACCACTGTGCAGAAACTACAGACAGAGCTCAGGGAAGCAGCAAGCAAGCTGGAAAGTTTGTCTGAAGGGGAAGGTATATTTAAAAGACAAGTCGAAACTATGGAGAAGAATCTAAACCAGGCCTTGAATGAACGGAACCTTCTACAAGACGAACTGAGAAAGGCTGAGGAAACTAGTAAAGAGAAATTGCAGGGCATATCTGAAGAGTTGATAAACACTCAGCAAAAATGTAGTTTGCTTGAAACATCCAAGTGTAAAGAGGGTGAAGATCTCCAGAGGACACTAGCAGAAAAAATGGCTGAACTTAAAAATAAAGAAAATGAATTCCAGACACAGTTGTGTACCATCACAAAGGAGTTTGAACAATGTTTTCAGAAAGCACAGGATAAGTTAGATGGTTTCTCTGTTGAGCTGTGTAAGAAAGTTGAGGAACGAGTTAGGGTTTTACAAAACCGGGTTACAGATAATCAGAATAAGGTAACATATCTAAAAAATATTATCATGACGAAGGACAACAGAATCAGCACTTTAGAGAAAGAACTTCAGCAGACTTTCGTCGAGAACCGTAACCTAAAGAGCTCTCTTGATGAGGTAACTCTTGAGTTTAGTGCAAGTTCAGAGACTCTTAAAGCCTTACAAACCGAAATGGAGTCTCTGCAAAACCACGCAGAGAATCGCTCCCAAGTACTTTCTGAGAAAGACCTTAACATTGAGCAGCTTCGCAAGGAGAACAAAAACATATCAGAAAATCTCAACGCAAATGTTTTGCAAATCGGCAATCTAGAATCTGTCATAAATGACTTGAAGACCCAGTTATCGAGTAGCATAACTGAAAAAGAGGAAGCCATATCTCTGCTGAATCAGCAGCACAGTGAGGACAAGGAGAGGGTAACATGCCAAATGGGGGAGAAGGTGGAAAGACTAGATAAAGAAAAGACCTCGCTTCGAGAGCAGGTAGACTCACTCAGGAATAAGTTCTCTGAGCAGAAAAAGAAGTTCAGTCAGAGTCACAGCACTGTTAAGTCTCTTCAAGATAAAGTTGCGGAAATGGAGAGACAGATTTCGGAGAAGGACGAACAACTTCAGATGCTCTCTGCCAGCGTTGACAATCACTCTATTAGTAAGTCCGAGATGGACCAGGCACTTAGTGAGAAAGAACAGAGGGTTCATGCCTTGACCTCAGAGCTGGAAAGCTGCTCAAGGAAAGTTTGTGATCTGGAGGAGCAGCTGGAATTGCGGACAAAAGAGCGAGAACAACTTGCAGCTGATTTGCAGCAGCAACTTAACATTAGGGAGAGCGAAAAGGTGGAGTTGATGAAACAGGTGCAGGAAGCTCAGGACCAAAGCTCTCAAAGTGGTGCCCTGATGCAGAAAACTGAGGAAAGTCTTCAGTCTTTACAGAAAGAAGTTGAAACAGCCAAGCAGGAACTTGAAACCCAGAAGAATGACTTTGAGAGGGAGAAGGCAGAGATTCTGAGGGCAAAAGAAGAGGCTGTTAATGCAGCTCAGGAAAAGGCGTCCTCTGAGACGGCTGGTAAAGTAGCTGAGTTGAAGAAGAAGGCAGAGCAGAAGATTGGCATGATTCGTAAACAGTTGACTTCACAAATTGAGGAAAAGGAGCAGGCTATCAAAGACATGCAGATGCAGTTGGAAGGTATCAAGCAAACCCAGACTGAAAAAGAAGAACGTATAAAGTCTCTAGAGGAAATTGAGAAGACAATGGAGGAGTCCACCGCAAAATTAAAGGAAGAGCATGCAAAACATCTACAAGAATTGCAGCAGAAAGAAGATGATGAAAGACAGTCCTCTCTGCAAAACTTAAAAGATATGTATGAAGAGAAGCTTGCTGTTATTCATAAAGATGTGTCTGCAAAAGAGGAGCAATCTGCTTTTGCTGCAAGAGAAACTTCGTCCAGACTTGAGGAGCTTGAGACCAAACTTGCGGAGTCTAATGAACAGATTACAAACTACCAAGCTGAGGTAAGTCGCCTTAAAGCAGACCTGCTCGAACAGACAGTTCGAGTGCAAGAGCTTCAACAGACATGCCTGGATCTTCAAGAACAGATTAAGGAGAAACTGATTGATCAAGTAGAGAATGAACAGGTTTCTGAAGTGCAAATGACCTCTAGTAGATTAGGAATGGAGCCTGCAATGTTAGTGGCCGTGGAAAGCAAGGACACTTTCAGGGACCAAGACGATTGGACGAGTCAAAAGGACTTGTTGGTGAAGGAATACGAGGAGAAGCTCCAAGATTTACAGCAGAGGCTCGAAGAGAAAGAAAATCAGCTAAAAGCACAACAGAGTTCGCCTCAAGGAAACGGGGAGACTGATAGTGAGTGCCTAATCAACAATACAAACACCTCAGAGAATGATCTTCAGATAAAACTGGTAGAGGCTGAGAACGAGAAGCAGAAGCTCCACAAAGATTACACCAGACTACAGAAAGACCTTCGCTCTCTAAGGAAAGAGCATGAGAAGGAGCTGGATTACCTGAAAAAGGAGATGGCTGAGGAAAACGAGATGAAGCTCAAGTAAGATTTATGTGAAACTTTTTTCTGTTTTATTTTAGTAACAGGTGGGGAGTATTTTATATTTCTCCTTAATGTAAGGAATAGGATGCATATTTTCTATTACATCGTTCTTCCCAGGGTTGATATGTTTGGTGATCTTTTTTTTTTTTTTAAACAGGCTTGAATTGGAAGACATAGAAATGAAACACAACTCTTCTCTTAAGCAGTTAATGAGGGAGTTCAACACCCAAATGGCCCTGAAGGAAAAGGAACTGGAAGGTTCTGTGAAGGAGACCATTGGTAAGAGGGGCATATTACAAAAGTACTGTTTATTGTTCATGCTACCATGGTAATACTGTGTTTTCCAGACACTACTGTGATGGGTATGATACTATGGCGTTCTTTAGAGAACCTTGTGGTAAGGTGCAGATATCATGCTATATGAATATGGTAATATTAATATTTAAAGGGGTAGGTTATTAAAATATTAAAAGTAATAGCTCACCTAAAAGTGAAACTTTGTTAGCATTGGTTCAAATTTAATTTCTTTATATTAAACGTTGCATTGTGAACATTCTGCATGACATCTTTTCTGTTTGATGGACAAAGAAATTTTACATGTTTTTTTAAATGATGTGAGGAAGTAAATGATGATGTAAATGAGTATTCCTTTAAGTAAAACAAAAATATTTGTTAAAGACCCACTCCGATGAAAATAATGTTTTTCTAGGTGTTAACATGTTCTTGTGGCATTTTTCTGATGTTAGAGGACATATCTTGAGAAAAATAAGCTCTAAGTTGTATTTCTGAGTATTTCTACATTCAAATGGCTGTGAATCAGTAGCAGACGCTAAAATGCCGGCTAAAATAGACTGGAGTTGTGAAGTAGTAACTCCACTGGGCGTCTCCACACACGACGTCTTGGAGTGAAATAATGATCGGTGATTGGTGATAACTTTGATTAACTTCGGATAATAATAATTAACGTGTATATAAGACTGTTGCCCCACCGGTATTGGGGGTGTAAGCTAGCGGTAGAGACAGAGCTCTCAGCAACGGGCAGGGGGAGGGTCGTCTCTCTGCCAACGGCTCCGCCCACAACGCAGAGGCGAATTGCTAATGAGCTACTGCCGCTCTGCTGAAGCGAAGTCCCAGAAAACGGCACAGGTTTTGTGATTTGGGCTAAAAATGGCATAATCATAATTTAAAGACCACTGGGAATGTTTAAAAATAGCTCAAAATATGATCGGAGTGGGACTTTAAATATACTGGGGGTAAAAAAACAAGTATGTCTTGAACAGTGTTGCCACAGTTACTTTGAAAAAGTAACTTAGTTACTTTTAAAATCAAGTAATCTTTAAAGTAACTAAGTTAGATTACAAGTTACTTTATTAGTTACATTCAGCAGCTGCCGAAAACACCCCTTTTTAACAGTAACGTCATCTCCTGACATTATAAGACATTATAAGCCCGGCGCCTCCGTGTCGTGATTATTTATTTTCTGCTATATTTACTTATTTATTAAATCCAGGCAATTGGTTGATGAAACATTGATTAAAATGAAGATACAATGATACAATTCACCTTAATGAAAGGCTTTGTGCTTTCATTTGATGTCTCTGTGAAAGTTTTAAAGCAGTCTTTCAGTGCCGCTTTCAGAGCGCTCACGTTCTTAACAGGGATCTGTCACATTGTTTTTCCCTCATAAATGCGTACACGAAAGATAAGACAAAATTAATATTTTATGTTCTGTGGAGAGCCAACCCTTCTTCATCCGGTGGGTATTATTACTTTTTGTACTTTTGCCACCTAAAAGTTAAAGTTTTTTTGTGTCACGTCCGTTACAGATGTGTATTTCCATCATATTAAATATAAAACGCATGTGTATACTGATATTTTTCTAATGTCTGGACTCCTTTATTAAGGGAGTATGGATAAACAGACATTTCAATATATTGGTATTAAATGCATTTTCGGAGAATTTACGGCCAATGTCAAGGCCATAACGCTGGAATTGCCCAATTTTAAATAATTTATTCTTAACTAGTTTTGTGGTGTAGGTCTACGTATTTTATAATGTTAACTTAAAATAATACTAATAGTAATTTAAAGATGTGGTAGCATTGGATCTGGACGGGAAGGATAACTCTGGGAGTTGGAAGGGGTGTGTCGCGATTCTGCCTTCTCACACACATTTTGGTTTCATATCGCATATCAGCCATCATTTAAGAAAATGACAAAAATAGTCACGCACAGTAACTTGGATAAGTAAGCCAGTTATGAAAATCAAAATTGATTTACCATGTGTTTTCAATCCTGTCATTTGATCCATCCAATCTGAAAATTAGTGTTTTACATTTAGTGATGGTAACATTCCTATGTATTCTTACTGTACTTTCCTGTTTATTATTTCCACACAGAGAAAGCTCAAGATGTTGAATCTGAGCTTATAAATAGCCATCGAGATGAAGTCAGTCAACTTCAGAAAATGATCGCTCAGAAGGAAGAAGACCTAAACAAAACGGTACAGCGTTACGAGCAGGTCCTTCAGGTACTGCAAAATAAAGCGAAATTGTAGCTTTTGTATTTAATTGCGAGTTATTCATAAATGGCCAGCAGATGCTTCAGTATAGAAGGACATTGGCACAGGAATAATTTTGTGAGGAGTTTATAGCTTTTGCTAATTCCACCACATAAAGTCAGTAAGTTCAGGTTTCAGCTAATAGTTTGTATATCATCAGGAAACACTTACCTCAGTCAACTAGCACCTCAAACTCCTCCTAGAGCTGAAGTGAATGATGAAGACCTTATGCTGCTTACATCCATCCTGGCAGAGAAGAATGCTAACTATTTGTAATAGGATTATTTCCACATCTTATAGATCTAATTGTTTACCCATGCATTTTAAGACCCACGTTTATTACCTGAAAATGAATATAATATGACAGCATTGTAAAATGATTCAGAGATTCACCTTTGCTCAGAGTCGTGAGGTGGAGATGGGCGACCGTGTTTGGGAGGTCCAGAAGGAGTTAGAGGATCTTCAACAGAGGAGTCTCAGCGGCCCACAGGTACAGACCCTCAGTTTACACACCATGAGTTGTTGTTTTTAATTAAATGTTAATTCAATGTGAATTTTATTTAAATTCATTATTTAAAAATAATCCAATTAGACCTACACCGCTGAATTAATAAATTTATATTTAATTAATTAAATTGATTAACTCTTTCCCTGCCATTGACGGATTTTCCGGCGACCCATGTTATCACTGTTATACAGTAGGGGGCGCTATTATACATCTACTGAAAGAGTACTGGATCTCCTGATCAAAACACAGGAGAAGAAGAAGCAGAAACAAGCGATAGAAGCATTGCTTACGCACATGTAAAATAACGCGATCATTAAACAGAATATAAATCAAAACTGCCTAACGTTACTGAATGAAATGTCGACCCAGGACGAGAGACAGGACTGTGAAGCTTTAGGGATGTTGATGGACTTGATCTACTCCCTCACATTCAAGTGTTGATAAAAAAAGAATGCATGATGCAAAAATATATTTTTTTGTTTGTTTGTTTATAAGCAGAGGCTCTATTCTTTCTTTTGATATATTGTATGTTCAGATATTCATACAACAAAATATAATGGAGGCCATGAAACTTTTGTGATTAAAAAATGCTTGCGGTGACTGGACCCTTTTTTTTTTTTAAACGTTGGCCGGGAAAGAGTTCAAACTGAATAAAATAGAAAAAATCTTTGCCATTAACCTGAAGAATCAGTGTTTGCTCATGTAATGTTTTATATTTATTGAGCTTTGACAATAATTCCGACATACAAATTGACTTCAAATGACTGCTTAAATTTCCATATGGATTTTGATTTGTAAATAAATGAATGCTGCCTTCACACTCTATCGGAATTATCGTAAATACGAATTTAAATGTGGACATAAATGAATAGGCCATAGGAATGAATTTCCTGAAAAGGTTTGGAATGTATCCCTGAGAAAGAGGCCTTAAACAGTCTCTGTTCTCAATGAACCCCTCAGAGAGCATCCTGAGCTGTTAGATTTATGCCACAGTGCTCTCGGTGCATGCTTGGAGAGAGGCAAAAAGTTGAGCCTTGTTCAGGATAAAGTGGTCCTTGTGTGTTCGGTGCCGTTACAAAGCGCTTGCTCTCAGAGACGTGAAACACCTCTGGAGCCCATGCTGCATATTTGCAGTCTGATGTCACAGGTTTTCTGTGGGCAAACACTACAACATCTAGTTATAATTGATTGTTAAAGGGTTAGTTCACCCAAAAATGAAAATGATGTCATTAATGACTCTCCCTCATGTCGTCTCAAGCCCGTAAGACCTCCGTTCATCTTCAGAACACAGTTTAAGATATTTAAGATTTAGTCCGAGAGCTTTCTGTCCCTCCATTGTAAACGTATGTACGTTATACTGTCCTTGTCCAGAAAGGAAATAAAGACATCATCAAAGTAGTCCATGTGACATCAGTGGGTTAGTTAGAATGTTTTGAAGCATCGAAAATACATTTTGGTCCAAAAATAACAAAAACTAGGACTTTATTCAGCATTGTATTGTGTTCCGGTTCTGTTGTGGATCCGCGTTCACGAGTCCGCATACACACGTCAGCAGCGTCACTGAACGCGGATCCACAACAGAACCGGAATACACACACACACACACACCAGACACACGTCAGCAGCGTCTTACGTCAGCAGCGGCACTGAACGCGGATCCACAACAGAACCGGAAGACAATACAATGCTGAAGAAAGTCCTAGTTTTTGTTATTTTTGGACCAAAATGTATTTTCGATGCTTCAACACATTCTAACTAACCCACTGATGTCACATGGACTACTTTGATGATGTCTTTATTTCCTTTCTGGACAAGGACAGTATACCGTACACACATTTTCAATGGAGGGACAGAAAGCTCTCGGACTAAATCTAAAATATCTTAAACTGTGTTCTGAAGACATGAGGGAGAGTCATTAATGACATCATTTTCATTTTTGGGTGAACTAACCCTTTAATATTTATGTTTGAATTATGCAGTCATGTGACCTGCTGATTCTGTTTTGTGTTTCAGGGTCTTGATGAGTTACAGGTAGGTTTTATTTTCATCTATTTGTCTGATTAACGCAAGTTTTTGGAAAGTCTAACTGGTTGAAACACCAGCGATTACAAACCGTGTTTTTTGAGACTGTCTTTGGTTCACTGCAGTTTTAAAGAGAAAATACTCAGCAATGCTGTCGACTTATGAATTTTACACATGGTTTGTCTTAAAGCATATTAAAAAACACACATTTAAACAAAATTAAAAGCTGGATTTTAATCAGGGGGACTTTAAAACCAAGACACTGTGTACTCTAGCATTTAAAAATGTTTTTTTTTCCCAAAGAAATTAAGTTATTCAGCAAGGATGCATTGACTTGATCAAAATGCTGTTCTTTTGAACTTTCTATTTATCAAAGAATCCTGAAAGTAATGGAATAATTATACTGAAAATTCAGCTTTTGATTGTAAAAATATTACACAATCTTGTATTTATTTTAACTTATATTTTTGATAACCCTCTGTGAACATAAGAGACTCTTTTTCCCCCCCCAAAAAACACATCTAGTCTTTTTCTCTGTCCAATCAGGTTCAGCTTGCAGAAAAGACAACCATGTTGAGCGAAGCCAGGCTAAAAGAGCAGGAATACCATGACAGGGTAAGTGAAGAGGGACACTAACAGAAAGACAGAGAGTTTAGCAGGGTGGGTGTCTGTACCGTTAAACCGGATGTTATTTTTCATGTAGCTAGCAATAAACCCTGTTGACAGTTTAACTAACTTTAACTAGCTTGTTCAGCAGGATCTCTTGCTTTGCCATGTCAGTAGTTGACCTGAATGAGAGAACTGGCCGTAGATGAAGACTGCCCTGACAATCTCCAGCTTGTGTTTGCATGCTTGCACAGAGTATGTTTTAGGCCTAAGAAGTGTTTAGCACACAAAGACAATGTAGAAGGCAAAGAGAAAGAAAGAGAGGAGCGTTTAGCAACCCGTCACATTCCCAGAGCTCCTGCACCCCTTTAGCTGTGTAAAACCGAAACGAGATTAGATTCATTGCACCGCACATCTGTTTACTCTTATTTCAACTTTACAAACAGTCACAGCAGCGCTCATGCTGTTTCTCTCACCCCACACGACTGCAAACTCACACGAGGAGATGAACACACTGAACCTGCCTTTATTTTTATAACCCGGCTTCACCCTGGGCCATACATGTTGTTAATTTGAGGACTGGTGTAGGGGAGGTTATTACTAATTTTAAGGCTATGTCTACATTAATCTCGACACATTTAAAAACGGCATTTTTATTTCAAAGCGCTCTGTCCACATTAGCATTTCAAGCATTTTCCCCCCCAAAAGTCCTTAAATCACCTAACTGCGCATGCACACAACGTAATAAAAACTTGCTGAGATACAGAGAGACCAAACATAATAAAGTTCTTCTCATGCTGTTCTTCTGGCATTATCATTTTATTAGCAAAATATCTCACCACTTATTGATATATAGATAGTTAGTTAGTCAGTTAAAGATCAATTGCCCTCATGTTTTGACACAGGACAGCTATTGCAAATTAATGATATTTGCAGGAATGTAATATGAAGGTTGTACAAAGTAACATTTATCTTTATCAACACTGTGAAAGTGAATAGCACACAGCTGGGACACACCGGTATAAAACTGGGTACAATATGCGTCACATGACTAAACATGCATCATTGTTTTCGAATATCTCTGTTTTCACAGTCCACACGGACACATTTCAAATGTATCTGGATTATTGTAGATGTAGACAAAGATTGCAGTGGGATTTCATGACTAGTTATTATGCCTGATTGAATTTCTCGTTTCCTATTTTTTTAATTCCTAAAACCTATATACAACTATAGACACCAGCTTAAGTTCACTTTAAAGATCCCTTTTACACTGTATTTATTTATTTTCAATAATTGTCTTTATTCTCAATTTATTTTTAGATTCATGCTCTGGAAGACAAAATAAGACGCTCCCATAAAAACACAGTGGTGACTCACCTGGGAAGCACATATCGAGGTAAATAATCCTAATCATTTTCTATAAAGATGGCTTTTAAATGCTATGTCATCTGCAATGGTTCTAAAGCCAGCTGTTATCCAGATGTCATTTACGGTCTTATTTATCTGTTTGTAATATGAATTTGGGGGTTTTAGCCACCTAGTGACTGTAAAATGCTTGTCAAGTATCTCCTGTAGTTCCCGGAGGTTAATGAATGATGTGGAACACTGACCCTTGGCAAACAAACCTCAGCTTCATCTTCACTAGCTCAGAGCCATCAGTCTCCACAGGAGAGCCGTGCTTTAACACCCTGCTATCAATCATGCACATATGCAGACCTTAAACATATGGGCAGCCAGAGGCCGGTGTTTTAGAGAGATCTGCCCCTCCACAGCCCTTCCCTGCTGGTGTAATAAAGAGCTCATCTCTGAATCTAATGGGTTTCACAGACCGTGTTTCTCCCCAGTTCCCACAAATGAGCCACAGTCGTCTCAGAGATCTGCAGCGTCTTTTGTACTTGCATTGCTTGGGCAAGAGCAGCGTCATTATCAGCACCAAAATAACATCTTTTGTGTTACATGGAGAAAGAACGTCATATGGGTTATGGATACAAAAATGAGGAAATGTAGACAGAATTTTCATTTAAAGGCAAAAATTAAATTGTAAACAATGAGTTGGAGCAATTCACATTTCCTTTCAATGCATTGTGAACACTGATTCACGATGTCTTTAAATATACACCACTGTTCAAAAGTTTGGGGTCAAAATTATTTTTTTTAAGAAACGAATACTTTTATTCAGCAAGGATGCATTAAATCGATCAAAAGTGACATTTATAATGTTACAAAAGATTTCAATTTAAGATAAATGCTGTTTTTTTTTAGTACCTTGGTTTCCACAAGAAAATGAAGCAGCACGACTGTTTCCAGCACTGATAATAATCATAAATGTTTCTTGAGCATCTTCTTGAGTATTAAGCAGCGCAACTGTTATCAACATTGAAAAATCATCATATTAGAATGATTTCTGAAGGATCATGTGACACTGAAAACTGGAGCAATGATGCTGAAAATCCAGCGTTGATCACAGGAATAAATTGCATTAATAATAAATAACAATACAATTTCACAGTAGTACTGTTTTTACTGTATTTTTTAATCAAATTAATCCAGCCTTGGTGAGCAAAAGAGTATTCTTTCAAAAAACAATGAAAAAAGACACTGTCCTCAATCAACTTTTTCTCTCCGCATCCTCATGAATGAATCAAACTTCCTGGATGCTTTTTGTAATGCTTTCTTCAGTTACTTTATCCGCAAAATAAACATGAAATGCTGAATTTGTCCCAAAGAAGACGTCTTAAAGCAGTCTTCATTTTGGGAGTGTCGATGAAGCCTTTAGAAAGCTGTCTTAGGTCTTGAAACAGAGCTCTAGTCATCATCTCTCCTCATAAACCACATTAAATGTCCTAAATGTCCGAGGTTTTCCTTTGAAGACATCTTTGACATGCAACTAAACAAACCGCCTGTTATCCGCTCACTCAGACTTTATACACAAACAAATCTCGTCCATTTATCCGTCAGCTTATCTGTGTGGCCTCCACATTAAAGGGACAGTAGTTTATAAAGTCTGTTTGACCTTCTGACTGCCTCACCCTCCAATAAACGCTCGTTCACATGACACACACTCTCCCTCAGAAACGACCTGTTTTGTGTATAATTCTTTGATAGAGTATTGAAGTGATTTATGGTCACTATTCATTGTTTTCTATATTATTTATGTTTTTTGTTCATTGTGCAGTCAATGTGCTAACGGTTGTCGTAAAGCAAGCCCTCTGTATGGATGTGTTGTTTTGGGGATGAGACTGATGTGGCTCGTGTTTCGTCCCTGTTGGCCCAGCTGGGCTGTCCTGAGGTCAGTCAGACAGGTCGGGTTATTTATTCGCCGCTCATTTCTCCATGCTTCCTGATCAAAGGCCTGTTTGAGCTTCAGCGGCACCTCGAGTTCCAGCTCTCTCTATCAAGCTGTCTGTCCCTGGCCGTTCAGCCGCCCGAGCGTCTTCAGCACGGCTTAAATGGACTTTCCAGAGACACACACGGCTCCTTCTGCTAATTGTCAGTCATTCACAGGTTTAATGAGGCTGTCGTAACGCAAACAGATCGCTGTGCCTTCTGTGCTGTTTCTGCATGCTAGATATTGTAATGCATATTTCAAAATAGCCGTTTCACTCAAAAATGGTTAATTGCTTAATCCTTACATCACTGCGGTGAGACATTACTGAATGCTTATGTTGTTTAGCACATGTGCACGTTCAATTTAGCAAAAACGTACACTACTGTTCAAAAGTTTGGGGTCGGGAAGATTTGTAAAAAAAAAAAAAAAAAAAAGTTAGGTGTGGAGGTTGTTCAATTTAATTCAAATTTATTTCTATAGCGCTTTTCACAATACATATTGTTTCAAAGCAGCTGTAAAGAAAGTGCATTTCAGAAATGTACATAGAAAAGATACATTTAATTAATCATGTATTAAGTACTGGCATGTGCTTCTAAAGTTGTGGTGTTCTCGTAGGTATTTTACGTCATGTTTTCCATGGTATCAACAGCGCAGGAACCTACCCACCCATTCCCAGCTTTATTACATGCCTTTTTAAAAATATCTCAAAAGTTTGTTTTTGTTCATTCATGGTCTTACCGTCTCCTGTTACGTTTCTGCTCTCACTTCTTCATCCATTAAAAGTAGGGTGGAAAACGGAAAAGCCCCCACCTAGATTGAGCCAAAGCTCCTTGTATTTACCCACAATGCTGTCATTATAGTGTTTCCAGTGTTGGCACCCTTAACTACTGTGCCTGGAAGTGAGGCGCGTCTAGCGCTCTGATTTACGGGCTGATTATTGTCACGCTGTGTGTTTAATGAATGTATTGAGTGTATGATTGCATGCTTATCTTATTGATGTCAAAGCTGAGGAAAATTGTCCTCCATTACCAGTGCTGGTTCTGAAAGATTAACTCTTATTAATGCTTATTTTTCAGATTTGAAACAATTAAACATCCTAGTAAAAGTCTAGTTACATTTGCAAGTTGCGACGCACACATTTTTTAGTTTTTATCTGAACGTTACCCCATTATTGACATTCTCTTTCCTCTCTGACTCTGTTGGTTCAACTATTATAAGAGGATGGTTGGTGTGGAGTGTTTGGAGGGTTTATAAGTTCGTCATCCGGCTGTTCTGGTTTTAATTACGGGCCTGACGGAGCAGTGTTCAGCAGATCTTGACTGAAAAGGGGTTTTGTACTTTATAAACAGTGACTGTTTCATCTAACACTGAGCTTAAAGTCTCTAGTACTCATGGATGATGATTATGATGAATCTGCTGTTTGTTTGTCTTTACAGATATGTCACACAACAGCACGGACCCCTTCTCCGAGCCCACCGAATACGAGTACCTCA